ACACAGTTGAAAGCCTTAGCATAGTCAATGTTGTTGTTCAGTGCAATTGACTTGGTTCCAGTTCATAATGACTCTATAAGGTTTCCAAGGAGTTGCTGGTGAGTTTGAACCTTTCAGTTCAAACCAGCCTTGAAGCCCAGTGCTTATCCTACAGCGCCATACAAGGACTCCTTGCATAGGCAATAAAGCACAAAAAACATCTTTCTGGTATTCTTTGTTTTCAGCCAAGATCCATCTGACATCAACAATAATATCCCTTGCTTCATTTTCTCCTCTGAACCCACTTTGTTTTTCTGGCAGTTCCCTGTGGGTTAACTATTGCAGCTAATTAAAAATGATCATCAGCACCGTTTTAATTGCAGGTGATATTAGTGACATCTGATGATTTCCTCATTCCATTGGGTCACCTGTCTTTGGAATTGGCACAAATACATTTCTCTCCCAATCAGTTGGCCAGACAGCTGTCTTACCAATTTTTTGGTATAGGTGAATGAAGACTTCCAGAGCTTCATCAGTTTGTTGAAAGATTTCAGTTTGTATTCTGCCAGTTCCTGGAGCTTTGTTTTTTTCACATTGCCTTCAGTGTACCTTGGACTTCTTCCTCCAGCACTGTTGGCTCTTGATCAGATGCGACCTCTTGAAATGATGGAACATTGACCATTTCTTTTTGGTAAAGCGACTCTTTCTCCCATCCTTTTTTGATGCTTTCTGCATCATTCAATATTTTGCTGATAAAATCCTTTAATATTGCAAACTGAGGCTTGAATTTTTTTCTTCAGTTCTTTCAGCTTGAGAAATGCTGAGAGTGTTCTTCGCTTTTGATTTTCTATCTCCAGGTCTTGGCACATTTCAATATAATACTCGACTTTGTCCTCTTGAGCGACCCTTTGAAATTTTCTGTTCAACTCTTTTACTTGCTCATTTCTTCCAGATACTTTAGCTTCTCTACATTCAAGGGCAAGTTTCAGAGTCCCTTCTGATATCCACTTTGGTCTTTTTGCTAGTTCTTCCTATCTTTTTAATGACCTTTTTTTTTTTCCTTAAAAGTGTTTTATTGTGAATTACGTGATAGTTTACATGGGAGAATATTAGCTTTACAGTCATCCTATCGTATATCGTTTCATTGCCATGGTTACAATCTCCTCCATGCATCATCAACCAACCAAAGGATATATATACCCTACAAGCCTGCCCCCCAGTCATCAGCACACAGCCCCTTTCCCTCTCTGGGATTTGAGTCCCCAGCCACTCCATCTCTCTACATCATCATCTCTGCCTCCATCTTTGGCATCACTGTTTCTCTGGGTAGCGTCCCACACTCCACTCTTCTCCCTTGATGGTCCCAGGGACGTCCACTCCTGGACTACAAGTCAACCACTCCCCTCCTTTTGCTACAAAATATCTACCTTTACATTTCCAACCCTCACAATCAGTCCTGATGACAATTATTCACTACTGTGCCACATGACTGCCATCCCCATCTCCCTTCATCGGCCCTGTCCAGACAGATTGGATACTACTCAGTGGAGATCGTACCTTCCTCCGTGCCCTCTGGATCTAGGATCCTTTAATGGCCTTTAGCTTTATTCATGTATGATGTTCTTGATGGCATCAACAGCTCTTCTATTCTTCAGTCATTAGTGCCTAATGCATCAGATCTGTTCTTGAGATGGTCCCTGAATTCAGGAGTCCCTGGTGTGATTAATGCGCTGAACTGTGGGTTAATGCACTGAACTGCAAAGTGAGTTTGAACTGCAAGGTTGTGGTTCAAGCTCACCAGCAACTCCGTGGAAACCCTATACAGGGTCCCTATGAGTCAGAACCAACTCAACAATACTTAACAACTACAATGTTCAAGGTCATATTTTGGCTCTCGTGGACTTGTTTTAATTTTTAAGCTTCAGTTGAACATGCATATGAGTAATGCAGATCAGTCATGAGGTACAATGCTGTCTGTGATAGGATAATATCCATGTGCCTACAGGGAAGCCCAATTAATACCACTATTAGTCAAATATATGCACCAACCACTAAAGCCAGTGAGGATGAAATAGAAGAATTCTACTAACTTCTTCTATCTGAAATTGATCAAACATGCAATCAAGATGTACTAATCATTACTGGTGATTGGAATGCAAAGGTTGGGAACAAAGAGGAAGGATCAGTAGTTGGAAAATATGGCCTTGGTGATAGAAACGATGCTGGAGAATGCATGATAGAATTCTGCAAAATCAATAATTTGTTCATTTCAAATACCTACTTTAGAAAACATAAGAGACGACTATACACATGGACCTTACCAGATGGAATACATAGAAATCAAACTGACTACATCTGTGGAAAGAGACGATGGAAAAGCTCCATATCATCAGTGAAATTTATGTGTGCTTTTTTGACTACACAAAGGCTTTCGATTGTGTGGATCATGACAATCTATGGACAACATCTGGAACACTTAACTGTGCTTCTGAGGAAACTACATGGACCATGAAGCCGTTGTTCGAACAGAGCATGGGAACACTGAATGGTTTAAAATTAAGAAAGGTGTGCGACAAGGTTGTGTTCTTTCACCATACTTATTCAACCTGTTTGCTGAACAAATAATCTGAGAAGCTGTTTTATATGTAGATAAACATGGCATCAGGATTGGAGGAAAACTCATTAACAACCTGCGATATGCAGATGATACAACCTTGCTTGCTGAAAGTGAAGAGGACTTAAACTATTTACTGATGAAGATTAAAGAGCACAGCCTTCTTTGGTATGGATTACATCTCCATATAAAGAAAACAAAACTCCTCACCACTGGACCAATAAACAATAATCTGTCAACGGAGAAAAGATTGAAGTTGTCAAGGACTTCATTCTTCTTGGATCAGCTATCAACAATGGAAGCAGCAGTCAAGAGATCAGACGACGTATTGCATTAGGCAAATCTGCTGCACAAGACCTTTTTAAAGTGTTGAACAGCAAAGATGTCAGCTTGAGGACTAAGGTGCGCTTGACCCAAGCCATGGCATTTTCAATAACCTCATATGCATGCGAAAGCTGGACAGTGAATAAGGAAGACCGTAGAAGAATTGATGCTTTTGAGTTAC